TTTCTAGTTCTTTTATTCTTTATTTATTATGTTTTTTTTTTCAAAAAAAAATTACAAAAATAAAAATAATAAAACATTAGTATTAGTAATAAATGATTTCTCTTAAAATTTGAAAGAAACATAAAGAAAATAAGAATTTAAATTGAAATAGGAAGCATAGAATATATATAAATGCATGGATGTAAAATTATATAAATTCAAATAAGATATATAAAATCTATTGGCTATGTTCAAAAACGAAATTCAAATTTCTTTTAAAAGAAATGAATTCCCTAATTTAGATAATATAAACATTAATTTAGATTAAAATAAAATAATATTAAAAAGCTAGATGATAAAGTAAAAATTATAATAGATTTATTTTAATTAAATAAAAGGTAAATATTTATAGTGAATGTATACAAAACTATTACTTTTAAGATAAAAAAATATATATAGAGAAATAGGAATGATTAAGTGTTAATTAGAATAAATATATAGTAAAGGAAGAACAGAATTTATATAAAGTTAAATATAAAAATTACTTCCTAATACTAGTTTAGAAGAAAAAAAATTACAATAGCTAATTTAGAATAAAACATACTTATATAAGAAATTTAATAATTTGAAAAAAATAATTAATAAAGACTTATTTATGAAATTGATTGCTTAGATGATAAAGTAAAAAATAAATGGATATTATTTTTTATAATTTTTTTTAAAAAAATAAATTCAGATTTCTAAATTAAGCTTTATTGTAGCTTAATAAGATTAAAAATATAATAAAAATATTTTAGATGAAATTAAATATATAGATGACAGATTATTTTCTTTGAAATATGAAATAAATGGAAGTAAGAAAAAATATTTAATTGATATGAAAAGAATAGAAGATAGATTTGAAAAGATATAAGTATTAAATTAAAAAAGTATATATATAGAATAAGATATAAATCCTATAAAAATATAAAACATAAGTGATATAATAAATATAAATATTTAATAATTATAATAAAGAAAAGAAGAATTAATTAATAAATTATAATTATTAAAGTAAGTTTGTTGATTTAAAAAAAATAATTAAATTCTAATATTTTTTAAAATATATATATATATAATTAATATATATATATAATCAGTGATGTATATTAAATATAAAAGAAATATAAACTTGTAAACTAAAATAAAAAATAAAAAAGTAAAGAAAAAGATAATAAATATATAAAAAAAATATATATATATATATATATATATATTTTATATTTATTATTCATTATATACTTATAATATTATATTTTATATAAAATTATTTAATTTTGTAAAAATATAATATTTTATTACTTTTTAATTTTATTTTAACTTTATTATATTATCATATATTTGTTTATATAAATAATTAGATTTATTTTAATTTTTTATTTTTGTATATTTAATATTAACATTAATAATTTTTTTTTATTTATTTATTTTTTGAATATGTTTTATATGTTTTTTTAAATTTTGTTTTTTCATTTTTTTTTTATTGAATTTACTTTTAATATATCTTTATTAAATTTAATAATATATCTTTCTTTATTAATATCTATATTTTTTTTATACTTATTTTGTATATTCGATTACATTTCAGTTTATATTTAGTTCATAATTATGTTTTTATAATTTTAAATTCATATTTATATTGATAATCTGGAATTTTTTAATTTATAAGATCATTGTATTTAAATAAAATAAGATAATGATATTTTAATTAGATTTGAATAAAATTCTTATTTATTTTAGAAATTATTCTTTTTTAAATAAGTTATTGGTTCAGTTTTATTAAATTAAATATATATACATATATCTCAAAAGAAGAAAAAATAGAAATATTACTCAATTATAAAAACAAATTAGTTAAATAAATAAAAATAAAAGTTTTTATATATTTTTCCCTTACATACCTTTAAATTTTTTTAATTATAAAATAATTAAAATTTAAAAGCACATATATATTTATTTATTTAAAAGATATAAATATTCATTTTTATTGGCTAGAACAGTTATTATATATTATAAATATTAATAAATTAGTTAATACAAAAATAAATATTTTAAAATATTATATATACTCTTCCACAAATACATATATATCATATTATATTATTAATGGTAATGTTATTTTGTAGATAATCTTTATATTAATAAATATATATTAAAATACATTTCATATTCTTAAATAAAATTAAATAGATCTTAATAAAATTATAGAATAAATATATAAAGAAAATATAGATATGCCGAAAACTGAAATATATAAAAAATAATAAAATTAAAACTTATCATAAATTATATAATAAAGAAAGTTAATTCAAATAATCTTAAGATTTATAATTTTAAATTAATTTTTTTCCAATAGAAAATTATATAAATAATAAATTAAAATGAAAATAAATAAAAAAGTTTGAAAGGCTCATATTAAAATAAATAAAAAAATGTCATATAATAGATATTTTTAACTTTATTAAAAAATAAAAATTAAAATTAAATATAAATATAGTAATTTAATTTTTGAAGTTTTATATTAAAATATACTTTTTATTACTATTATTATTATAATATTATTATTATTATTATTATTATTATAATTATTATTATTATTATAATTAACATAATTTTATATTTAAAATTAATGTTTTAAAATATATATATTTAAGATTACAAGAAATATATCTAATTTATATAGAATAATATAAAAAAAATATATAAATATTTATTTAAATAAATATTATATATATATATATATAAAACTACAATAAAATATTAAATTTTTCTATTTTATTATATAAAAAAAAAAAAAAATTCTTTATATTTTTTTTATAATAAATAATTATTTATATAAAGAAATAATCTATTTTTTCATTTTTCACGTGTAAAATATTTATTCATTCAAAAATAAACTAGTAAAAATCGTATTTTTTTAACACTTTTAAAACATATAATAATTTGATGTTTTATATCTGAAAAAAAATAAAAATAAAAATAAAAAAAAAAAAAATGAAATTATTATATTTTTATTATTCTTAATAATACTCTAATAATAAAGTATTTTATGTTAAAAAAATAAAATAAAAAACTAATAAACACCAAGATAATATATATATATATATATATTTAAAAAAAAATAAAAAAGTCATATAGACTTAACATAATGAATAAAATATAGAAACTCATCAAATACAAGCACATTAAGTATTCGAAATAGAAATTAATGATTTAACTTAGATAACAAGCTAAATGAAATTCACATGTGTACTTTTTTATAATAAGTAAAAATAAAAGATAATTATTTTTTTAAATTATTTTAAAATATATAAAATAAAAAGTCAAGTAGATGAAAAAATGGAATAAATATTATCTGATTTAGCTAAAAATATATCCGAAATTCGAAACTAAGAAAAAATTTTCCAGTTTTATTTGTAAAAGCCAATATTTCATAAAACCAATAAACAATATAAAAATATAATTTACAATTATAAAATAATTATTCCTTAGTTATTTATAATAAATATAATTTTCTTTAATTTTAAAATGATGAATTTTAATATGATCCTATTTATAAATTTATTTCAGAATTTATAGACAGAACTATTTATAAATTAGAAAATGAAGTAATAAAATTAATATATATATATATATATATATATATATATATATATATATATATATATATATATATATATAATATATATATATATTATAATATGTATATAAAAATAAGGAACAAATAAATAATTTCTTGAACTAAAAAGATGAAAAAAGAGTCTTAATAGGAACAAATAATAGTACATTATTCCAAATGATATAAAATTAAGAATAAAAATATGATCTTTTTAGATCCGAATGTATAAAAAATGTCAAATATATAGATAATTTAGCACTTTTAGAATTAATATAAACAAAAATAGCCTAAGAAAATCTTAAATTACCTTTTTTAATGTTTTTAAAAGACAATTAATTTTAAGAGGAAAAGAAAGTGCATATTTTTGAAGGAAATATAACTAACTTTAATGAAATAACAGAATTTTTATAAACAGAATGTTTAAATTTGGTCGATGAAATTTAAGAAGAAAAATTTGTGAATATTTTTGGAGGAGCAGTAAATAAATAAGTGAATTTATTTTTAAATAAAGAAGATGATAATGAAAAAATTTTATTAGAATTTTAAAAAGCTGCTTTATTTAATAAAGAAGAAGAACTAAAATATGAAAGATTTGCTTTCGTAATACATTATTTTAATGAAAAAAATTAAAACTTTATGGAAAATTTCGATGTTTATGACAAAACATAATTACCTTTATTAACTATATCTATTGTTGATTTTACAAATTTCGGATTAGTTAAATATATTATGGAACAAAATAAGGAAATTTAGAAATAAAATATAATAGATTTTATGGAAAAAGCAAGAACTAAATAAATAGAAAATCATTATAAATCTGAAGAAATTGAAGAAAATAATAATTAAATTATAAAACTTGTAGGAAAAAACTTTAGAGAAAGTATATTTAGACAAAAAAAAGTGTACTTGTACTTTTTTGGGATAGTAAAGATAAAAATTCTGCAGAAGAATATTTTAAACTTTTAGATGAGTTTATAAGTAAAATTCCTTCTTTTTAATATTAAAATTTACTTATTTTAGCTAAATTTGATTTAGCCAAAAACGAGTAATTTATATATAAATAAATATATATAAATATATATATATATATATATATATATATTTATATATATATATATATATTTTTT